AGACAGCCTAAGTACCCATCAACTGACGAAACAGATAAACTGTGGTACAAACACACAATGGAATATAATGCTACCTTGAAGAATAACAAGGAAGCTGCAAGCCACCTCATAACATGGATGGACCTAAAGGACATTATGTTGAGTAAAATTAGTCACAAAAGGAGAAATCCTGCATATGATCACTACTGTAAAAGACTAAAAAAAAGAACCCATACTAAAGGGAGAGAGCACAAGGTAGGGAATAGACACAGGATAGTGTGGGTGCTAGGGATGGGGGCAATACACAAGAAGGGGGAGGGGAATAGAAGAACAAGGTGGACGGGAAAACATGGGTTTGCATGGGCTCAGTGGGACAGAGGTAAATACTGATGTATGCACAACCTTGGAACAACAGGGCCCTGGGATACAGGCATGGTTTCAATGGGTAAAAGGGGTGAAATACTGTTAAGATGCTTGGCTGTCTTTTGAATCTTGGTTTCCCTTGCATACCATTATAAAATAGACACTTGAGAGGGAAAGAAAGGAATAGCCAGAAATACCACCATAGAACACTTGTAAGTCCATCTTCTGCCTATAACTGATTGGAATACTTAAAATGGGACTACAAGGTGCCCAATGAAGGAGGTTTCCTGCGGGGCCTCTGCATTACATAAGACCATAGGTGGAATCCTGAACCTCACCCAGAAATCTTCTGAGGTGGGAAATTTCTACTTGAAAGGACAAGTAGACCAGCCTGGAGCAACTAGAAAAACAGAAGATACTTCTTGAAAGACCGACAGGAAAAATACAAAACAATATAGGCAGTCCGACTGATTACTACAAGGACAAGCAAGTTGCTCATCCACGAGACTTCAAGGCAAGTGGTCAGGTCCCCTCAGGGCAAACCCCCTTCCAAGACTAAAACTCAATGGGAATACATGCTCTGATTGGTGACCACGTTCGTCACCAACAAGGGGAAGTGAGGGAAAAACAGCAATGAAGCTGCGAGTTAAGCCCTACAATGTTCGATAGACTTCTGTGAACGAACCAGGGTGGAGACCTGGTTGGCCAGCAGTGTGGCAAGACCTGGGGACTCTTGGGCCCAGAGTCAGTGACATAGCCACAGAGGACTAGAGTGGAGAGTGAAGC